CGTGCCTGCAGTGCCTTTTCCATGCTGCCAGGGAAAAGCAGGCCTGCTGCTGCTGTGCTGCTGTGCTGCTGCAGGAAAGGCTGTAAACCCTGCAGCATCTTCCCTGCTTCAGCCTGAGCTTGTGTCCCTCAGAGGGACAGGTGGGAGCAGGCCTGGAAAAGCAGCTGGGAGGGCAAAGCTGTAGGGTAGAGACCACGTTACAATGACACTGGGGGCAGATCCCTGCCAGTGCTTGGCTGCAGGTCAGGGAAGGGGATTCAGTGGGTAGAGATACTTCGAGAGCACCTCTGGCATTGCTGCGTCCACAGATGTGGAAATACTTCCTGCAAATGCTAAAAGTAAAATACGGAGGCTGGTCTTCCTTTGGAAGGAATGTGGTAGGAAAAAAAAATCTAATTAAATGTCCAGGACTGTGATGGGAATCCTATAACCTTTAACTGGGCATGGCATGAAGAGCCTTTTCCTGTTGGCTTGGTGCAGTGAGAGGCAAAGCTAGGAAGGGGTTATTATTTCCATCTATGAGGCAGATTAATTCTGAGAACTTTTAACTTCCCTTGCAAACGGCCTAAATTAATGTTTTAGGATTTTAGTCCCTGCCTTCTCCCACCCCCCCAAAGGCCAGGCCCTGGAAGTGCCATTATGCTTCTGTCAAAGGGGCTATTTCTGGAATTGATGATATGAATGAAGCCTAAAACTCCACTCTCATTAACGTCTGCAGCTTATCCCGGTGTCACTCCTAAGCTGGTGGGACTTGGTGACACTGCAGGGGGAGGCTGTCATTTCAACCCAATTTTCATATCACATTTGCACAAAAATTTCCAGGCCTTGCCAGCGCTTTCCACACATTTGTCAAATCCCAGCCGCTGTCCCAGTGAGTGAGGCTTCTCCTGGCACAGAAGCGACGGCTGTGGGTGCTGATGGAGGACTTGGTCCTGGATGGGATCTCTGTGTTGAAACGACAAGTCCTTGCCCTAAAAAACAGACAGTGAAGGATCCAGGGGGTTTTGTGCATTGCTGTGGTTGAGTTTCATTGCGTGGTGCAAACCTGCCGCCCCTGGTGCTGCCCCTTGCCCACGGAGCCCTGCTGCCATCACACTGCTGTGCCTGGGGTGGGGGCGGAGGGCTGTGCCACCCCATCCCAGCAATGGCAGCACGTGTCCTTGGAGCTGCTGCTTGGCTGCAGAGGGGGAACAGGGCTCAGGAAGGGAGAGAGAGGGATGCAGGGAAGGGGGAGAAGGGGAATGGTGGGAGCTACCTGGGAATAGCAAAGCATCAAGGGAAGAAATAAACATTAATCCCACAGAAAAGTGTGCGTCCCTGTAGAGCATCACCAAACCCTCCCCTCCGTACTCAGCTCAGTCAGTGGCACTTCCCCAGGGAAAGGGAACCCAGTCTCTGGGACACAGAGGTGTCTGCTCTCCTCAGCCCCAAGCCAAAGAGTCCACCAGGAGCAGTGAAAGTGCTCCACCTCCTTGGAAAGAGTCCAGGATGCAGCTGGACAGAGCATCTCATCTGGTTACTGCTGCCCTTGGGCAACAGATGCTGATTTAATTCACTCACGAGTGAATTTGATCCAAACTTTTGCAACCAAATCATAGCAAGCATAATGCAATATCTTCTTCTTTTAATTATATTAGACTGGGTAGTGTTGGCTAATTGAATCTGGGACTCTTGCCTCTTAATTACAAAAGGTCAGGTGCTGTGAATCGTGGGCAGGTGGCACTGGGACACCGGTGATGGGGAGGGGCTGAGGGCTCCTGCTCTGTGAAAGACCTCCTTTGGTAACAAGTGAGTGACTTCTGGACATTTTTCTTCTTTTTTTCTTTTGTTCTCTCTATCTTATGAATTTTAAGTCAGATTACAACAGAAGTGTTACTGCGAATTTCTGTGTGGCAGAAACAGGTTTTTTTTTTAGTTGAAAAGAATCTGTGAGGATTTTGGCTGCCTGCCTTGAGCACATTGATGGTAAAAATGTGGATTTTTAAGAATACGCTGGGATGAGCAAGTGACCCTTAAAAGTGGTGACTTCTGACACCCATCGGGTGGGGTGGATGGGGGAATTACCCGCTGTGTGGTCATGAACCCCATTATTAATCCTTTTTCTCTTAAATATCAGCTCTGCTTGGTGGGAGGAGAGGGCAGGGCCCTGAAGGCCAGCTCTGTTCCCAGTAAATATTTACCTCATGCAGTGAGGGCTGTGGGCTCAGCGCGACACTGGGTGGTGGCAATGCCACCTCTGCCCCTGCTTTCAAATAGTCTCCTCCTCACCTGAACTGCTGGCCAGGGACCAACACTGTCTCTGATGCTCCCCCAAAGCTGCTTTGCCCCTTCCCTGCCTGCCCTGCAGCAGTGAGAGGCATTCAAAAAAGCACCTTCTGCTTTTGCTAATTGAAGAGTTTCCCTTTGTCAGCCTCTCGCTCAAAGGAGGGTCGGTACAAAGCCATAGCCAGCAGCACTTTGTGTGCCTCTGAAAATCCCATTAGCAGAAGAAAGAGCTTGAATTTTCATTCAGCTGGAAAAAAAAAAAAAAGAGGGGGAAAAAATAACACCCCCCCAACCTTCTGATGTATCAGCTGCACATTAACATACTGCCCTCGGCACTGCTGGGGTGCCTGTCCTGGGAATATTTAATCAGGGAGAAGTGTTATATTGGACTGAAATGTCTGTGCTTCAGGGAGAAATATGCTGATAAGTGGTCTGCAGTTAAATTTGGGGTAAAAAAACCCTCTGCCCTCAGCAAATAAACACCGCTCCCCCTCCCCGGGTCCCTCTCCCTCTCCAGCTGTTTCCCTGCCTGCAGATGTTTGTTCCTGCAAGACAAATTGGGATGTGGGGAGGGCAGCCCTGAGATGGGAGGACAGGATAGGATGGAGGGACCTTCACTGTAGCCATGGTGGGCAGCATGGGGGAGCTATGGCTGTGCCAAGGGGGGAGGTTCTGGCCCAGGGTAGCATGTCTGTGGGCAGGCTGGGGCTGCTGGCTGTGCCATGGGACCTTCTTGGGGTACAGATGTGGCGCTGGTCCCCAAATCTTCCTGCTGGCCACAGCTGGTGCCCTGTGTGGGGCAGGTTGTGGCATTTTGGGGGGTGCACTCTCCTGGCATCCCTCCACTTGCAATCAGTCACTGGTACCAGTGCCAGCACTCTGATGAGTACTGAGGGACATCTGAGCCACGGTGGAGACTGTGGCATGCCAGGGAAGGACGGGGTCTTTGGTGCCACCCTGGGCTCTTCCATTCCAGCCTTTGCTCATCCCTCTATGCCAGATATGGGGCTGTGGTGGCCTTGGCTCTGCTCAGCTGCCCTGGGTGAGCATTAGGGCTGTGCTGAGTCTTGGACAGGGAGGAGGTGAGATCAGAGTGGCTCCAGGCTGATGCCCACCATGGTTGTGTGCCCGTCTCTCTGCTTGCCCAGGAGTTTGCGGTCCCCAGCCAGCATCAGCAGCTGCTTACTGGGCCAAAAGCCCCCCAGCTAGGATGGAATGTGTGGAGGAGATCCATATCCAGTGAAGGCTCTTGTCCACTGCCATGGAAGAATTTGAATGGATCTTTGACTATCTGGGGACTTGTCCATCTGTCTCCGCAGGTTCTGACCCAACCAACCCAGCTGTCCTGGGACATCCTCACTTCCCTGCTGCATATCTTCACAGCCTGTACAGGTGACATTCCTTCTGTCACCCCTTTGGGATCATTCAGGGTCATTTTAATTCTTTCTGTTCCCAAGGGCTTTGCAGCTCCTCGCTGGCAGAGCCCTGGACATGGCTGGTTCTGCTGGGGAACCTTCCCAGGCCCCCAAGCTGGGGATTCTCTTCAGCAGCTGCCCCTTCTCCTGGCTGCTCTCCATGCCTGCCCCCACAGGACTATATTTAGGCTAAATATCCCAGCCCATAGCCCCACCCTGACAGTTGGAATGTCTGCCCCAATATCCTGTAAACATTTCTCCTGATTAAAAGATCCAGATTGTCGACAACCAAACTGTGACTCAGCCCCATGTGGTTTTCCAGGAATTCGCCCAGGATGGGTGGCAGGAGCTGCCAGCCCCAGGCCTGTGTGCCCTGGGTGGAGAGGCACCTGCTGATTCATCCTCACCTTGCGCTTCCCCAGCAGATAACGCTACAGCACGGGCTCCTCAACACCACCCGCTGCTGTGTTGCAGTGAAAACTCTCGTCTGTCAAGGGCCATGCTTATTTTCCTGGAGCAGAGAAGCTGCTGCTGGCACTCAGGCAGGAGCATGGCCCTGCTGTCTGTGGGTTCTGGCAGTCGAGAGGGTGTTTTTCATGCTAGGCTGGAAGATAACCCCAGCACCACACTGAACCAGTGCCTGGATTTCCCATCTCTGTGCTCCTGGAAATGCCCCCAGAAGTATGCAGGAATTGGGTACCAGGTTTGAACCATCCCTATGGGGATGTGCTGCAGCAGCACACTCCATTCTGCCCCAAAAGTGCATCCAAGGTCTGTCCCAGCAGCTCAGCTCTTTAAAAATTGCTCTGAGAGGCAGGAGGCAAGTAGGGATTGGGCTCTGCTGGCCCTCCCTTAAAGGCTTTTAGGCTGTTCATTAATGGTTTTGGCAGTCTTGATTTGGATTGGGAATGAAAGTTTAAGCAGTGGCTTCGAGGAAACACCCCTGGGATAAGCTGAGACATGGTTAATAGAAATTGTAATGTTAAAGTGCTTTTCTGTAAAACGCTAGGAGAGGAAATTAATGGTGTGGAGTTTTTTAGTTTTTTTCTAAAAGTTGATATAATTCATTTAATTAAATGTTTTAATCCATCACATCAGCACTCAGCACTCTTGCCATGCAACTTCCATTTTAGAGTGGTTTTCAGATCAGCTGCAGCCACTGATGGCAGCATGGCCAGAACACCTGCAGGTATCTCAACATGCAAACTCGGAGAGTGCCTGATGTAGGGAAGCTGCTCTGCTCCTGGCCTTAAAGACCAGGAAAAGCTTTCCAGTTCAGATGCTGCTTCTTGTGGATGCACCTCTGGGTCTGCTGCCTCCTTGACAGGTGTGTGCAGATGGTTTGAGAGGGTCAGCATGCTGGTGATTCTGCTCAACTGTGTGACGCTGGGCATGTTCCACCCCTGCGAGGACATCGCCTGCGACTCGCCGCGCTGCAGGATCCTCCAGGTACAGCCCCAGAGCTGCTGGGAGCTCAACAGCAGCCCCAGGTTGATGTGGAGGGGGAAGGAGTGAGCTGGCTCCAGCCATGGTGGTGTGGTGTCCCAGGATGTTGGTTCCTGCCTGCACTGTCTGTCCTGTGAGCACTTGGGAAGTGCTGGGTTTGGTGCTCAGATGAGAACATGCAGTGCCATCAGGCAAAGCCCCTGCCAGGCTGTGCCAGCCCCAGCCTAGCTCAGCCTTCCTTGGAGTCCTTGGAGAAGGCCAACCATCTAGTGGTCAGTGAAAGCAGAGCCCAAACTATGCTTGTCCATTTTCCTGGCGCTATGGGTGCTGTTGGACCATCTGGGCTGGGCCCTGCACCACAGGGCTGCTCTCAGCACAGCTTCTTCTGAGGCATTTAGCTTTTACAGATGCAAGAGGAGACCTTGCTAGACTCAGCTTTCTAATTCCCTCCCTTGGAGCAAATGTGCAGGAGCATCCCTCCTCCCTTCCTTTCTTTTGCAGAGCTTTGATGACTTCATCTTTGCCTTCTTTGCCGTGGAAATGATCGTCAAAATGATTGCACTGGGGATTTTTGGGAAGAAATGCTACCTGGGAGACACATGGAACCGCCTGGACTTCTTCATCGTCATTGCAGGGTAGGTCTGGGGAGGCAGGTCCCCTTCTTCCTGAGCCTCTGGGTTGTCGTTTGTGGCTCTGCTCAGCAAGCACTGGGATTGGGGGAGCAGCTGGTGGAGGCTGGGGGCTGGCTGGTGCTGATTGCTGGTGCTGTCCATCCCAGCCTCCCAGCAGAGATCACTCCTGAGCTGCAGCTGCCCCTCTGGTGCTCTCAGTAGCTGGAGGCAGAGCTGATGCTCAGAGCATGGGCAGAGCAGGGCAGGGTGACAAAAGTTGTTTGTGGTGGATTTTGACCAGCCTGGGGCTCCTTTGCTGGATACTGTGCTTGGCTCTCTTCCCTCCAGCCCACCAAAGGTTTCAGGTTTCATGGTTGGAGTGGGCAGCTGGGAGCATGGAGGGCTGTGCCAGGAAGGATCATTCAATGAAACATGCACAATTTCCCTCATTATTATACTTCTTTTTTCTTGAGGGAAAGTGATCAAGTTCGCCTTTCTGAGTGTTTTCCTTTCAGAGGCACCTGGTTTGAATTAAAGGGTCTTCCAGCATCTGAGAGTCTCCTGGCAGAGGCTGCAAATACACATGGAAAGTCCTTGGCCACTGGCCACTGAGCTGAGTTTCTTTGATACACAAATTTCTTGCTGGCCCTTGCCTCCTTCCCTGCCCCAAGACTTTTGGGTAAACAGTTGGGTTTTGCCTCTTTTGATAGAACTAGGGATCAAATTTACTAGATTTTCTTGGAAAGAAGCAGAGGCCCCTCCCAACTTGTTTGCCTGGCATAGGTTTGGTGTCCCAAAGAAGGGGCAACAGCCCCTTCTTCTTTGGTCCAGAAGGGACAACACCTTAATGAGTTTTGCTTATGTTCCATTGCTGGCCTCACAGGGACGTGGCCCATGCCTCTGCTAATCAGCTGGGAGAAGTAAAACAGAGGTTCCAGGTCTCTCAGTGCATCCTTGGCTTGAAAAATTCATTGTTTCAGAGGTGAAAAGGTTCAGTGAGCTTCAGACCCAAAAGCTGTATTTGTCCCCATAAACCTGTCTTCTGCAGGAAGCCACAACCTCCTACTTTCCAGCCCCACCAGCCTCTGGCTCCTCAGTTTAGGAGAAGGTTCAGGGTTTCCTCCTGAAATGTCTGAGCAATGTTAGGGACAGCAGTGATGGGATGCTGGACCAAGAGGGAACCACAGGTCCAGTTAGGTCTGGTAGGGTTGTAGACACCAGCAGCACATCCAAGGGCTGGAGCTTGCTAAGCCACCTTTATTTAGCCTCATTTGTTATGTCTTATAGTGGAATTAAATGTAATGAAGAGCCCAACCCAAGCAAGGCCTGACATCCTATCCTGGGAAGCATGGTCACAGATGCTGGGCAGTTCCAAACTTCACTGTGCCAGGGTTCTGCCACCTTGCCCTCCCAGCCTGGTCCTGCCTTTGCCTGTTGGTCTTCCAAAATCTTTGGAGCCAGACTTAGCCCTGATGTCACTCTGTGGGGACCCACCATGATGGGACCTCACTCTAGAGGGGACACCAGCCAGGACCATTCTTATTCCTAAGCCAAAACATCACACTTCTCTTTGCTTGAGCAAAGAAATCTCTGCATAGCTGCTGCACCTGGCCAGGTGTTTGCATATGTGAGAGTTATTTCCTTCCTGGGCAGAGCTGCATTGTGGCACAGATCCCCCTGCAGCAGCTGCTCCCCATCCCCATCATGCAGAGACATTTTTTGCTGCAGGATTTTGCAGCAGGGTAGTCTGACCCTCTCGTGCCTTCTGCCAGGTCGGCTTTGCTTCTCACTAAGTGATGGCTTTTTCCTCCATGTGCATGAACTGTTCCCATCTGGGCCCCGTCAAAACCAATTCAGCTGGCAAAGCACCTAACTGGATTTAAATACAAAGCAGAGCCTCTCCTCCTCCAGCACTGACTTCGTCTGCCCCCTTTTGCTCCCCTTTTGTGGCCTTTTGCTCTTTTCCAATCCTAGCCCGTCCATCCTGGAGTGCTGCATCCTACTCGGAGCATTGCTGCAATCCTGGGGAGCCTGCTGAGGGCCAGGGAAAGCTAAAGGGGCTGCAGGAATGGCACTCTGCTGAAGCAGAGAAAAAAAAAAAAAGGGACTCAAGCCCTTATTAGACCTAAGATATTGGTAAAAAACACCTATAGTGTTTTTACCTAAGTGCTGCAGGGTCAAATCCCAACCAGACAGAGGGAAATTCCTCAGGTAGCCCTTAGTGCAACTCTCTGGTTCCCAGAGGGGACAAACTACCCCAAGGAGCACCCAGCCCATGGTGCTCACAGCAGAGCCCAGGAGCAAGGGATGAGCAGGGCTCTGCATGGAGGAGTCCTGCATCTGAGCAGGTGTCAGGAAAGAAGCCAGAGCCAAACTGGGGTCCTGGAGAGTGCAGGGCAATCCTCAAAACCCAGCTGGGTTTGCTTAGATACCAGATAAAGCAAGTCATGCTTTTAATGGAGGTCTCACATAAGGGCCTCAGCCAGATTCCCCAGTGAAATTCCAGGGGAGGAGACTGAAGTTTTCCTGTGGTCCTGGTGACCACAATGAAGCAATTCTGTTTCTGCATTCACATTTTTTCTCTGCCCTTTATGTGCCAGAGATGGGAGGAGGAAAGCAGCAGCACAGTGTGAGCTCCCCAGCACCAAGCAGGACCCTGAGCTCCAGCTCTCCTGCTTTCCTCGCCCCTTCCCTTCTCATGGGCTGCAGAAAGTGATGTCAGGGGAGAAGAGAAGCAGCAAACTGCATCTGTGGGGCTTTGGGTGGGGAGAGCATGTAATACTGGGACTGAGCACTCCCACGGGCACAGCATCCATAGAAATCCTTCCCAGCCACCACCAGTTTAGAACAGGCTTCAACCCACACTGCCCACCCCCAGCGCCCCCCTCCCCACAAAAATCCCAACTTAGAGCATCTCAGCTTCCCCATTCTCTGAGAACTCTCTAGATTTGACAGGGGTTATCGTTGTGGAAGAAGCCTTTTTGTGCATTTTCACTCCAAATCTCCCTCCCTGTTGTAGTTCTGGGAGAGCCTCTTGGATGCTGTCCTTGCTCCTGCTGGCCACTTCTGTGGGATGCCATTAAGTGCTTCTCATCTCTGTTAAACTGTCCAGACCAATCTCATGAACTCATGGAGTGTAAATGACTTCTTTGTGACAATGTAATGCAATTAGTGCTAATTACAGAGTGTGTAATGTCTGCAACACATCTCTGTAATTACAGTAAAACTTGCTGGAGATGAGAATAGTGCTGTATTATCAAAACTCTGCTTAGGGAAACATGGCTTAGGCTGGAGGTTACAGAGTTGCATGGGGAAAAAAGTGATGAATGGCGCAATTATGTTGCATTATTTTTAGAGGAGGGCATTTGGGGAGTTTGCTTGTGAGAGAACACTTCTTTGAAGGTTAAAAGGCATTGCAAGCAGCTCTTGCCCTCTAAAGACGATTAGATATCATTCTGACCTCTCCCAGCATAAGACACAGATGCACTGAGGATGGATGCTTGTTTGCATCCCAAAATATGCAGAAGTGGTTGATGCTGACTGAGGCTTGGGCTGGTAAGCCAGAGCTGTGGGATGGAGATGTGCCCTGACTTGGTGTTTCCCTGGTCCCTGTGGGACCCAGCATCTGCCATCCTCCAGCAGGGCACAGGAGCACCCTCTCTGCTCCTCTGTGGGCAGAGGAGAGCCACAGACTGAGGGCTCCCTTCTGCTCAGCTGGAGCCAGCCCCAGCCCCACATGTTGCTGCAGTCCCAGCAGCTTGCAGGAACACAGCTTGTTCTGGCTTTGTCCAGATAAGGACTTCCATGACCTCTGCATTCGTGTAGATCCAAATGGACTTTAAGCCATCCTCATCAAAAAACCCCATGGTGTGATTTTGGAGTTAGCCTGTGCAGGGCCAGGAGCTAGGCTTTGATCTTTGTGGTTCCCTTCGAGCTTAGGAGATTTTATGATTCTATTTTATGATTCTAACCCCAAAACAACAAAAGCCCCTAATGGTTTATTGTTTTCCTGCGAGAGAGCTTTACACCAGGGGATAATTTGGAGCTGTCGGAGCTCATGGGATTCCTCTCTGCCTTCCTGTGCCCACATTCTGCTCCCCACCGAGCAGGGCTGTGCATCATCCCCTGTTTGAGCTGTGTGGGTCTGTGGTTACTCCAGGCTCAGTCAGTTGCTTGGCCAAGACTGAGGAGCCCTGTTTGTGCTTTGCTCATTGTAATGGTAACAAGCCTCTTCAAAGACTTTGTAGGAAAGTTAAACACTTCTGGAATATTTTGCTTACGATTGAAGAGGAGCTGGGGCTGGAGGTGGTTGGCAGGCTGCTTAATTCAGGAACAGACACCACTCCTTTCTCTCTTTGCTTCCTGAACATTTCTATTGTTTGTTATGATATTTTTTCTCTCTCTGTGGAAGGCTGTATTAAACAGTGAGCTCCACTGAAGCCTTCATAAACAACCTTAAGGATGTCTTTCTCCCTCCTGGTTTTGAGCATTGAATTTCAGGGATGAAATAGGCTGCAGGAAGCCCTGTTGTGTTCATAGGTGACAGGAGAGAAAGGGATGACACAGCCCCCACTCCATCCCTGCTCCATTTAAATCTGGATGGGGTCTGAAAAGCTCTTTAGCTCAGAAATTGGAAGGAGGGCTATGGTGCCAGACGGGTCTCTGCAGGGAGCTGTGATCCCATAACTGCAGCAGCCAGAGCAAGATTCCTGCTGGGTGCTCTTGGTGAAGCTTCCAGCATGTTGCCTTCATCCCGCAGCGCCAGATCGCTCCACAGGCAGGCAGGGCTCCTCTGAATGGCATTTTAGCTGTACAAGGCTGATCAAGGTGCTGTTTCAGCTCCCTGGTTCAGACACGGGGAAGAAAGAGCTGGTGTGGGACTGCCTAGAGGAGCCCCTGCTGCAGCTTCCCGCTGCAAAGGCTGATTTTCCCCATATGTTAGTCTTTCATCCCTTAAAACTCACAGGGAGGAGGGATGAATGTTGCTTTTTCATTCCCTCTGCCTCTGTGGAGCTGTCTGACCTGGGGAGCAGCACAGGGGGACGTGGCAGCAGTGCCCTCTGTGCTGCCTGGCACCCGAGCGAGCCCCGGCGTGCAATTGCCCGTGTGAGAGGCTGATTTGCACACCCAATTACCCAATGTGCAGCCACTGCCACGGCCCCTCTGGGCCACGGAGAAAGCTGCACCAAACCTTCTCCCAGGAGCCTGGCCCTCTCCTGGGCTTTCCAGGATGGATTTGAGTGTCCTGGAAACTGGGAGCCTCCTCCACGGCCTCGCTGTGTCCTGACTAATCCCAAATTAGATGCTTTGTGCTCTGAGCACAAGTGCCAGAACATCAAGCCAATACTTGTCATCATGAACCTCCAGGACTTCGATATCTGGGGCTGAGCTGTGCAATTTAATGTTTTAAGTTACTTTTGGGTGGATAAAGGGTAGCCAAGACCCGGGCACAGATGAAATCCATTGGCTGTGGATGCTCCGTGCTGCCTTCCCACAACCTTTGGAGCAAAGCATCCCGAACAAGCTGCATCCCTGACTCACAGAAACCTGCTGGGTAAAAGAAAGCACTCAGCAGTCTCCCTCGCAGCTGAGCTGACTCAAGTCCACCTGTGAAAAGCCTGGAGGTTTTTTTTTTAAGTTTTAGGGACTTTTAAAAAGGTAATTCTTTAGTTTCTTTCAGTTCTTCAGCTGAACTTGCTGCTGCTTCAAAAGCCTCATTAGTCAAGTGTCCTGGCTGGGACACATGGTGCAGCCAGATCCAGCAGGCTGCAGGGTTCATGCTCTCTGTGTGCTATTCTTTTTCTTCTGTTCAGCTTGATTGAAATGAGTATTTTTAAAATTAAGCAACACCCACGAATGCAGTGAGACTCGCAAGGCTCCAAATGCAGCCACTGAGTGAAAGCAGAGCACAGCTGAGCTGGCGAGAGCTGGGCAAATTTTCATTCCAGCTTTGTGAAGATACACCACCTAAATAATTTCTCCTTGTCTCTTCCAACACCGATGGCTTAATATCACCCACTGATGGCTGTGCTTTGTAGATAAAGGGTGTCTATACGCCCAGTTTTGGAAGCTTTTTAACGCTGAATAAATCTCAGCCTATCTCTCCCCAGCAGTGCAGGGCTCTGAGTGTGCAGGGGGTGGGCAGCTCTCGGGGGTGGCCCTGCCTGCAGCCGCTGCTGCTTTGCCACTGGTTTCTCGTGTGACCTTGGTCACATGCCCTGGGTGTGCAGCACCCCCAGCACCCAGCTGTGCAAGGGGGGAGTTCAGGCTTTCCTTGGAAAGGGCCCTCAGCAGAAACTCTCTGTGTGACTCTGCTGGGTTCTCACAACATTCTATTTCCTGAGCCGGATTGGTCCTGGAGATGGGAGTAGAGTCAGAGCTGAGAGCAGGGTGCAATGCTGGCTAGGTGTGGGAAGGACTTGGCTGGAATTTCTGTGCTCTGTTAGGAACTCTCTGGATAAGCAGAGCCCCTTGAACCCTTTCTGTGATGCCCTGAGCATCGCTTTGGAAAGCCCTTTGCCTCAGGGTTGCTGCCTGGCATTGCACTCAGGCAATCCTTCCTGGTGCGTTGGGTTTTACACGAGAGAAACCCCAGCATGATCACTGTCTCCAGGTGGAATAGGAATTAATTTCTCCTTCCTGGTCCATCTTGAGCCATCCTCGTTGCCTGTCAGCTGAGCTCTGGGAGTTTTCCTGCTTGGAGAAGCATTTGCCAAAGGTTTGCATCAGCTCCCTCTCTGCCTCCCACTAGCAGCCCGTTGTATGTCTGGCTTTGCAGATGCTCCACTTTTATTCTTAGAAAGTCCTAAATATTTCCGCTTTCCTTCTGAATAACTCCAGTGATGGGGGTTGCTAATCACCCTGACGAGCTGTGAATCCATCCTATTTAATGCTGAGTTTCTTTCTGAGCCTTTAACTTGGCTGGGCACCAGGTTGGTGGCAGCGGTGCTGACAGGCATCATGCCTTTCCCTCTGAGCAGAGATGACATTTGAATTGAAGCTTCATCAGGAGCCTTTTACACTGCAGATTTCCAATGCATAAATGCTATATATGCTGGTAAATGTACCTGTCACCTCACCAGCTGGTGACATCCTGACATTTGCTCTCCCTGAGTATCTTCCCTTGCCAGGGATGTGGATTGATTCTTCCCGTGTTTCCCCTTGCCTTGGGAAGTGACCTTAGAGCTGGGGACTGCTGGTGTTCTCACTGGACTTGCTCTTTAGTGACTGAGCTTTACTGACATTCTTTTCTCCAATACCGAGTTCTCTCAAGGCACTTGAGAGAGGTTACCAGCAAGGTGTGGGCCCTGTGCTCTGTGTCTGGGGCTGAGCTTGGCAGTGCTTTAACACCAGTTTTGGCAGCAGTGCCCAGCAGCATAGGCAGGAGACCACCTTCTTGCTCTTGGTCTTGGTGTTCAAGTGTTTGCTTGAGCCTCTGGGTTCTTCTTTGGCTTGTTCCTTTAAATTTGGCATAATAATTGTTCTTTAATAAGTTAAATCAAAATGTATTTTACAGCACATCCTTTGCAGCTTACAAGCACTCACATCTCTGGAAGTGTGTCTGGAGCTGTCATTAATCAGAAAATGATTTGTCTTGGTGCATTTAACCACGTGCTGCTCTGAATTTTGCTGGCAGCCTCTGTTTTAATAATGGATGAAAGAAAAGCTGTATGTTTGATATGGGTTTTTTACCTGAATTTTGCCAACCACACAGAAATCTTTTTGAACAGCAAGTGAAACTTGACAGCAATGAAACCACTGCCCCTCTCCTCACCTTAGCCAAAGCTTGCCCAGTGCAAGGAGTCCTGTGCACTGAGGAAGGGACTGGTTTTCTATTCCCAGGTCAGGTGGGATTTTGTGAATACATTGATTCCTTTCTGGCTAGGGGCTGAACAAATCTGTAGTATCCATACGTGCATGTCCAACCTCCTGGGGCTGTCCCATTGCTAGGGGGGTCAGCTAAGCAGAGAGGAATATGTTGAGGTTATTTTAAATATAGATATGGTTTGATCATCATCATCATCATTCTCATTAGAGCCTATCAGGTAAAGCCTCAGTGCATTAAACACAGAGTTGTTTATATGAGGGCTGGAAGGGGAGCCTTCTCAACCCTGGGGCACCCTCACCTGCTGGGAGCAGGAGGGAGGAGAGGTGGTTGGCTGCTCACAGCAAGGACAGAAGCCTCCAGTGTGCTGCAGCCAGGGCAAACCTGACGCAGCATGGATGGATCCTGCAGGATTTCCAGCAGGGAGGAAAGGGACAGCACTGATGCCTTGGTGCAAGGACCAAAACCTCTTCCAGAAACTTGATGCCTAATCAATCAATTCAGACCAGGGCAAGCGTGGAGGAAGGTTGTGACTGAGAAACAGAGAGCCTGTCTGTGAGATGGGGCTGGAAGAACTTGATTTGTTTGACTTTGCAAAATCAAGGCTGAGAGAAGATGTGCTTTGTCCTCCGTAAATACATGGGTGAGTAAACACCAGGGACAAATAACAGCTAGAGAAGCTACTTTAAAGACAGTGCTGCTGTAAGAACAAACAGATATGAGCTTGTCCTGAATACATTCAAGCTGGAAGTTAGGCTTCTAACCATTAGAGTTGGAGGGAGGGAACCACCCAGCTTGTTTGGAGATGGAAGTTTTGGAAGAGATTAATATGCTGTGGTTGCCTGTGGTAGTGGGAGCCTGACTGTCCAGGAAGCCTCAGGGCTGCCTTTCTTACCTTTGCCTGGCTCTGCCTCTTCAAGAATATTCTGGGCAGAGCTCTTGGATCTTCCCACAGCCAGAGAGCAAAGTCCTGGAGGTGTTGTGACTGATGACTCTGTTGTGCTTGGGCAAAGGTGCCATGAGAAGAATGAGAGGTGCTGGGGCACCCCAGGAACTTGCAGCCATCCAGGTGCATCCTTAGACTAAGTCCTGGGAATGTTGCTCCTGTGTCTCCTGAGCTGGGGAATAACCCTGCCAGACAGTGGGAGCACTGGGAGGTTCCTAGGTCCAGGCTGGCCCCATTTTTTTGTCTGCAAGTGTCACCAGTTTTGGTCCCACCTGCCAAGGGTGTCTGCTGAGCAGAGACAGCAGAGCACAGTGTCCTGTGCTGATCATCTCCTGTGTCTCACAGAGGGTTCTGCACCAGAAGATTTCTTCCTTTCTGGACTGTGGTGGTGCTCAGCACAACAAACTCAGATTCATTACAGTATCTGTAAAAATGATAAAAGCAGGGCTATGTCTGGAAATTTCCTCTCTGGAATGTGCAGGGACTTTCAGAAGCTTCTGCCTGGCCCTGTGCAAAAACAGTAACCAAAGTGGAAGATGGAGAGAGAGGGAGAGATAGAGAGGGAGAGATCTGTGGCTGTGTGAGCTGGTGTATCACATTCCCCCTCACTGACTTTATCCTGACATGCAAACAAGCCTTAATTAATTCCTCGGGCAAACTTTCCTGATGGGAGAGATGCAGTAACAAGTCCCTCTGTGAGTGGTTGGCATTTAATGTTTGCTTTATGATGTTTGATAATCTAACATTTCTGCAGCGGATCCATGACACTGCTCCGTGGTTGTGTGTCTTTCCCAGGATGCTGGAGTATTCCCTGGACCTGCAGAATGTCAGCTTCTCAGCCGTGCGCACCGTCCGAGTCCTGCGGCCGCTCAGGGCCATTAACAGGGTCCCCAGTAAGTCAGATCCTTGTTCCTCACTGTTGGGGCCAGCTGGCTGCATCCATGCCCCAAAGATGAGAGGGCAAACCCAGATGCTGTGCATCACAGCTCAAACATTTGCCCAAGACTTGCAGTGCTGGGTACTTCCACCACTGTCTGGGTTCCTTTTGACGCCTGTGGCATCAGAGATGAGTCAACGAGTTATCCAGGACTGTCTTCAAACACCTTCCTTTCTCATCTGCAGAGGGTCTGAGGAGGCTGCTAAAGGGCTGCAGGTGATAGGGATTGACTGAGCCAACAGCCTTTGCCAGGCAGTGCAGGCAGTGGGATCTGAGCCACGCTGGTCCCATCCTCCCTGGGATACTCCATCCTTCCCTGGAGAAATTGGTGTAAGAAACTCTTGTTGTGCCTGAAGATAGTGCTCTGGGAGGTGCTGAAGACTCTAGAGCTGGTGCTTACAGCCCAAACCCCCAGCACCTCCAAAGCAGGCCTGGGTGGGATGGGCAGTGACTCTTCAGTCCTGGTGTATCAGGTCATGGACCAGGGCCTCAGCCCTGCTGTAAGCAGCAGTGGGTGCATTGCCTGCTGCGGCATGGCACCCCAGCCCCACATGGCACCACAAACCCTCCCCTGCCCCGTGCTGGGCTAATCCCAGTGCTCCATGGGACACTGAGCACGGTCCCTCTCAGGTGCTGTGTGAATCAGGTAAGTGTAAGTACAACTGCACCAGAAGCATTCCTTTTCCATCCTGGTCCAACAATCCTGGCCATCAAATCCAGTACTGTTTTAGCCAAATTAAATCCAAGTCTGCACTCCCCTATCTGAACTGGCTCAATACATTGATGAGAACTAATCAGCTTCAGTTCTCTGTGCTGATGCTGGAAGTGCCTGGGATCTATTTATTTTCCTGCTCCTGACTCTTGAACTTAATCTGGCTGTGCTGCTGATGTTTCAATCATTACAGAAGCTTCAGAATCCTGTTTGCAGTGGTTGTTTGTTTTTTTTTTATCCCCACCACTGAACTGGTGGACAGCTGAATTTATCCACCACTGTCTAACTGGGGATGTAATTTGCTTAATGTATTTTGAAATCCTGGGTAGTTTATCTTGTCTTCTCTGCAATGTAGTTACAATGGGATAGAAATGCAAGGTATGAAAAATAAAAAATGAGCTTTGTTTGATGATCAATGCAATAACCACAGAAAGTAATTTTAGTTAATTAGGAGTTGATGCAAGATGGTTGTTCCTGGTAAAAGAGTAGAAGAAAAACCTTGAGAGAGGAAGTGACAGCATCAGGATAAGAGAAAAAAATCTTCCTGAAGTATCAAAGTAAAGAATGCAACAGTAAAGCTTTCTTTAGATAAAAGCCAATATAAGCAAGTGAGAGAGTGCAGAACATGGGGAAAGAAACAGAGTGAGAGGTGAGCAGAATATTACACAGATGTCAGATGAAATAAATTTTTTGTGTGTAAATGTCAAGTTGAAGTCACCATCAATTTGTCCTTGTTACAGAACTGGCTGTTCCTGAACTTGTGAGAATTAACTGCCAGAGAGAGTCCTGTATTTTAAGGAAGAGAGGGCATTTAGGGTAGATGATGGGAAACAGGGAGGGAAGGGAATTTTGAAATATACTGAGTGGAGAAAGCAATACAATTGAGCAAAAGAGAGCATCAGAATTTAATCTGAGTGGAGAAAGGAAACATAATTGCTAGAAAACTTCAGAGAAGAGGACTTGAGGAGCAGGGAAGGTAGGTCTGGTGTCCAGGAGCAAGGCATGAATGAAAGAGCTTGTTCCAGAGGCTCTGGGGGGAAGCTAAAGGGGATGGGAAGCTGTGACTGTTCACAAGCCACATGTGGGTGATGAGAATAGGAGAAAAATAATAGAAGGAAATACAGGTGTAAAAGTATCAGTGGAAAGGAAAAGGTCAGGAGGACATAGCTGGAGCAAGAAGATTCAACGTAAGCATTTCCCCTTTGCCTCAGGTATGCGCATCCTGGTGACGCTGCTTTTGGACACGCTGCCCATGCTGGGGAACGTCCTCCTCCTCTGCTTCTTCGTCTTCTTCATCTTTGGCATTGTGGGAGTCCAGCTGTGGGCAGGTTTGCTCAGGAACCGCTGCTTCCTCCCTGAGAACTTCAGCATGTGAGTCTGGGCAGCACCAGCGTCTCCCCAGCCTGAGGGAGGCTCTCCCTGCAGGATCTGCTCTGTAAAACAGCCCTTCTCTTCTGTAAATGCTCCCTGCTCCTAAATGCCACCATCTCTCCTGCTTGGGCACACACAACGGGTACAGAGCGAGCTGTGACAATTTGCCATTTGCGTTTGCAGGCTGTCCTTAACTCTCAGCTGGCACTTGAGAGCCTCTCTGATTTCTAAAGGCCTCCAAAAAAGCCCTCTGAGAGTGGGAGTTCAGGCTTTCTAAATTCAGCATATCATTAATGTGTGACCTTTTCTGTGTGGAGATGCCCAGGTCTGAATCCCCTCCAGAAGCTGGTGGTCTTTATTGCCACAACTTTTGTAGTCCCACCTAAATCCCAGGAAAAGCTAATGGAACTCCTGTGCATTTTTAATGCTAGACAGTTTTCGGTCTCAGAGCAAGAGATAGTCCCAATCCCAAAGTCTTAATTTTTACACATCCCTGAATTTTAAGGCTAAAATAATTGTTGTGATCAGTTTGCTGGCCTGATGTAACACTGTTTGGACAGTGGTTGAAATACCTGGTAGCTGACAGCCTCTTTCAGGGTTTCCATGCCTGTTCTACCTACCTGCCTTTTTCCACCACCTCCATCGCATCAAATGCTTGGGGAAAGGCAGGTGACTGCAAACCCTTGATGGCTCTGCCAAGTTCTGCCATGCTGGTCACCTTTCAGTGGATTGCTGATTCCCCAGGGATCTGGCTGGGTTCCCACCTGGATGGAGGAATCTTACAAGCCCAAAGCCTCCTTTCTGTACACATCAGGACCATGTTGCTGCTGCTGCTGCTGCTGCTGTGGACAGGCTGGCACAAGGCACCTTCCAACTTCTCCCACCCACCTCCTAATCAACTCCCACCCCTCTTGCAGGTCATGCCCTCAAAGGGTGGCTGGAAATGACATTACCAGAACATGTCCCTGTTAAGTAAATGTCAGCAGAGCAGGGGGACAGCCTCACCACCAAGTAAATCCAATAGGGCCACAGGTTTGGGTGCTGTTTAATTGAGCCAGAATTCCAGGGCTTTAGATAGGCTTTGAAGGGTATTACAGGCAATTCTGCAGGAATTAACCAGGCTGAACTAGGCTTAAAAATATCTTTGCAAGCTTTAGTGGGAGTCCTGGCAGCACTAAGGAGATAGTGTGTGCAGAGCAAGGAGCCAGGTTCTGACTGGTCATGGGTTGTTTCATCTCCCTGAAGAGCATTTTTGCTTGGTTTCCTGTGGTAAGGCCACCCTCAGAGGGAATTTAGACCTTACCTGTGGGCTGAACTGACATGGTGAAATGCAGATGAAGTCCCTGTCTCTGATTTTTAGGAATTTTGGGAGGTCCTTGTACAGAGAGTCTTCCTAAATGATTCTCAGCATCTCCAGAAGGACAGGACACACAGGAGCTTAAACAGACTGATTTCCATCTTACTGCAGCAAAGATATTTCAGAGAAGCCCTGTAATGCTGAATCCTTCTCTTAGTCTCCCAAAGTCAAAGCCAGAGTGCTTCCAGAGGGACTAACTTTTAATAATGCCATCAAAGGGGCTGAGTGCCCTGCCTCAGTTTCTCAAAACCCAGTTAAGGACATCAGTTCACCCTGTGGAGCTGCAGTACGTCCAAGGGGACTCCTTTAAAAAATAGCTTTAAGATCCAGAAAAGCAGATGTCAGACTTCTATGCTGGTACAGCTGTCTCTTTGCCAGATTGCTTGCAATCAGTGTGCAAACCCCAGCCTTGTCTGGACTCTTTCAGCCCCTACACGGTTGATTTGGAACGGTACTACCAGACAGAGAACGAAGATGAAAATCCCTTCATCTGCTCCCAGCCCCGGGAGAACGGGATGCGCTACTGTCGGAGCATCCCAACACGGAGGGAAGAGGGTCTGGAGTGCACTCTGGATTATTATTCCTACAATGACACCACCAACACATCTTGTGTGAACTGGAACCAGTACTACACCAACTGCTCTGCTGGGGAGCACAACCCCTTCAAGGGAGCCATCAACTTTGATAACATCGGCTACGCCTGGATTGCGATATTTCAGGTGAGCCCTGTCTGCTCACAAGGTGGGCAAACAGCAGGTCCTGCCCTCAAAATGTTCCCAGGGGCTTTGTAATTGTACTCCTGGGCGCTGTTTTGTACTAGTGTGCACCTACATAGTAGTGCACAGGCGCTCAAAGTGTTAGAGATACAATATGATGCCTATTTTGAGAATGTCTCCACCTCACATGCATGGACAAAACCTTGTGGGTGTGCAGTCTGATGATGCTGGTGTGGGGCAGAGCCTAGAGACTGCTCTTCTTTCTGCAAAATGCGCTAGTGGCCCTTAAGTCCAGGTGGGAAAGGGCTAGATTCAGCCTGGGCAGCTGGTAACATGGCTGTTGGCATTGGGAGGAGCAGGAGTTGGTTCCTCAGCATCCTGTTCTGCACCAAGACCTGCTATGAGGCGTCAGACCTGACCCAGCCAGAAGAAATATTGCCTGGGCACTTTATTGTAACTGAGCCTTCAGGAGTTTGTTTTCCCTTCCTGTCTCCACCAGGTCATCACGTTGGAAGGCTGGGTGGACATCATGTACTTTGTCATGGATGCACACTCCTTCTACAACTTCATCTACTTCATCCTCCTGATCATTGTGAGTGGCCTTAGGGGAGCAGGGGGCATCCTCCTGGCATTTGGAGAGAGCAGAGTGGAGTCACCCAGAGGAACAGGGCAGAGGGTACAGTGAATATAAAAGCTGAAGTAGCAACCAGCCTGCTGGGAGAAACTCAGCTTCCCTATGGAATTGTGCTGCAGCTGCATTTAGCTGCAAACATGAAGAAGGAAAGAGATGTGCTCAAGCAGTGGTAGATCCACTTCTGTTGTTGCTGCTGCTTCTTCTCTTCTTGTGCTTAGAGAGCTTTTCTCTCTTGCTTACCCCCTTGAATTTAAGTTTTAAAGTAGGCAAATTTCACCTGCCCAGTTTCTGAGTAGAAAAAAAAATTTCACCTGCCCAGTTTTTGAGCTAGAAAGGGAAGAGGCTGCCCAAAAATTCCCCCATAATGCAGAACCCATCTGGGTCCTGGTGCCATGGGGATGTTACAGGAAAACAGTCCCAAAGTTCAGAGAGCACATTAGGAAAGGAGGGAAGAGATTACTGCCCACAGCCTACCCACACTTCACAGCATCATCTGAGACCACCCACAAAGGAGCCAACAAAGAGTTTCTGTGGGGTGGGCTCCATGATGGGCTTCATCTATGCAAGCAGAATTGTCTACAGTGACTGGCTGAGCTCGTTGTCTAGACTCCCTTTATCGTCAAGGGAGAAAAATAGGTGCTTTAAGGGGGTGATTCATCTCCTCTGAAGGTAGACATCCAAAATAAATTAGATGCATTGCAGACTTGATGCGCCTATTTCTTGCTTGACTCTAAAGGATCATTAGGTACCTCACTCAGATGTAGCTAAGTGAGATGAGTTATTGTCTTGCAACACAATTTTCTAAGTCCAGAAAAATAGCTGCACATGGTCAGTTAGATCATTGTGGGGATTTCTGCTCCTCATCAAACCAGGACTCAAACCCTGACGAGAAAGTAGACGGTTGTTTAGTCCATGATGCTGGTTTTTTTCTGTTAGCTTCCCCAAGAGAGAAGCAAACCCTTGCTCTCAGCCTCCCCAAGATGACGAAGAGGAAGAGCGAGCAGTGCTTTTCCAGATGCCGTGCGAGTAACGTTAGCAGTTTGTGATAGCCCGTTAGCACGTCAGTAATTCCCTGTAACCCAGGCTGGGCTCTGCAGAAGGCAGAACCTCATGAAACCCTGGTTGGGAAGAAAATCTCCAAGCTGTGGGTACAGGCTGCTGATGCCCTTGCATAACAGTCACCCGCAAATCCCATTAGCAGGGGAAAGGGATCTGCTCTCAAGCTGCCCACACACTGGCAGAAAAACGCTCCTATGAGGAAGGCGCAGTGCATTCATCGTAATGTCGCTAATTGTGATAATTACAACTGCTGTCTGTGGAGAGAGAAAAACACCATCTTAAAAGAGCAAGAGATTTTTGTCAAAATAATCTTCTCTTGTCTTTGATCTCTGACGTCCTCCATGGAGGGCTGGCGTGGGAGTCCCTGGGGTGAGAGCTTGGGGGGTGAGTCAGCGCAGTCAGTGGTCCCTGCTGGGTGACACAGGGGGTGGGGTTGGCTGGGGTTTGCTGCTCTTTGTCCTCGGCAGATCTGTGTGGTGCCACGGCCACACTGAGGTGCCTGATGTCCCCTGCCCCCTTAGGTGGGCTCCTTCTTCATGATCAACCTGTGCCTGGTGGTGATAGCGACGCAGTTCTCTGAGACAAAGCAGCGTGAGAGCCAGCTGATGAAGGAGCAGCGCGTGCGCTACCTGTCCAACGCCAGCACCCTTGCCAGTTTCTCAGAGCCAGGAAGCTGCTATGATGAGCTCCTCAAGTACCTGGTTTACATTGCCCGGAAGGGCAGCAAGCAGCTGGTGAAGGCCTACAGGGCAGCAGGCGTGAGGATGGGCTTCCTCAGCAGCCCCACGAGCAAGGCGAGGGCCGAGCGGCATGCCAGGAAGCGCCGGAGCAGGAAGAGATCCTCTGTGCACCACCTCATCCACCACCACCATCACCACCATCACCACTACCACCTGGGCAACGGGAACCTGCGAGCGCCCCGTGCCAGCCCGGAGATCAGCGACGTGGAGACCAGCTCGCTCCACAATGGCACCAACCGGCTGATGCTCCCTCCCTCAGCACCCAACTCCCTGGGGGCCCCCAGCGCCTCTCCCAGCAACACCGAGTCCGTGCACAGCATCTACCATGCCGACTGCCACTTTGAGCCGGTGCGCTGCCGGTCATCCCTGACACAGCCAAGCCTCGGTTTGCCAAGCCCAGAAGGGATCCCCAAGAACGTGGTGGGCAGCAAGGTGTACCCCACAGTGCACTCCAGCGCCTCCCATGAGATGCTGAAAGAAAAGAACTTGGCGGAGGCGGCGGTGGGTGCCGGGAGCAGCACCTTGACAAACCTCAACATCCCGCCCGGGCCATACAGCACCATGCACAAGCTGCTGGAGACACAGAGCACAGGTGAGCTGGGATTGGAGCTACATCTGGGACTGCTTTCCAGAAATATGATTTTTGTCCTAATTTTTTCTCTCCCTGAATTTTTGCAGGGTTCTTCTCAGTCCATGTTACAGAGAAAGGTGATGGCTTTCCAGGTGAGATGAATAGGAATCTTATGACCTACCTAGTGCCTCTTATAGCCAAATTTAGGAGGGAGGTTTCATCCTCCCAGACTTCATATCTACAATAATCCAAGGCATATGAGGATTTTCAGTGAATCCATTTTCTTTGCAATCCCCATCTCATAGATTAGAAGAAGAGTACAAGAGAGCTGCAGAGGGACTTTGACAAGGACATGTAGTGACAGGAATGGGGGAATGGCTTTAAACTTTGCAGAGGGTGGGTTTAGATTAAATTTTAGGACAAAATGCCATTATTTCCCTCCACTCCTAAACCATTTACAGGGAGCACTTCCCAAATCCTGTACTCCCAAAATCAGCTAGAGCTTGCAGATGGACACCTTCCAGATCTGGGTCCTATCACACACCTGAGTACTGTGTAGCTCTGCTCCTGTGGGACACAAGGCTTATGGAGATTTTGTGTGAGTGCTCAAGGACAATCACAGATGCCAAGTATTAAAAAACTGTGATTTGTTCAGGAAGCCTGTAAGAGTCAGACATCTTTCTTGGATCAGGGATTTCATATCTTCACTTCAAGAAAGTGAAGATATTTTTCTTTTCCACTCTACATCCTGAAGTTTGGGAGTTCAGGCCAGTCTAATCCAAACACTCCCAGCCTTCAAGAAGTGTTTCTGGCCAAGATTTCCCAGGCAGTCAGTGCCTTTTCCACCCCACTGCGATGGCATTGACCTTTCCAGCCAGGAGCTGTGCGGGGAAGAGACCAAATCCTGCCCCCAGCCCAGTGCTGCCCAGAGACTGAACACACAGAACTGGGCTCTGAGGTGGTTTTGCACTCTCACTGCTGGGTGCTGCCATGCAGGAGTCAGGTGCATGCATTGCCTGTCTCCTTGCAGCCAGCTGGTGGGAATTTTGGGGAATATCCCACTGGTATTTCACCCAGGATACACCTGGCAGCTGCCACCGAGGCCAACGTGTGGAGAGGGAAACCAGTGGTTTTGGAGCATCAGAACAGGAAAGAAGGCTGCTAACAGTCCTCCTGATAATTACAGCCAAGAGCCTGCCAGGACTGGGGGAACCGATTGCTTCCTCCTTCCTGTGATGGCTAGAGATGTAATGAGGTGCGCTCAGGGTCCACGGCTGGGGCGGTGTCTGTCGAGCGGCAGCAAAAAGAGCTTCATAAACAGAGACAAGGCACTTGGGAAGCCCAGGTTTTAACCCAGCAGAAGCCCTTTTCCCTTTAGGGAATGCCTGTCATGTCAGGGGCAAAGGCTTGGCGCTAACAGGGAGTGAGGGTTGCTTCCCGCAGCCCCCAGTCCCAGCTGACCAGCTGCCCTTTCCCTGCTCTGCTGGCATTTCAGGTCCCTGCCAAAGCTCCTGCAAGATCTCCAGCCCCTGCAGCAAGCTGGATGGAGGCTCCTGCAGCCCCGAGAGCTGCCCCTACTGCCTGGCAGCGCTGGGCGAGGCTGAGCTGTCCGACAATGACACGGCTGACTCAGACAGCGACGGCGTCTACGAGTTCACGCAGGATGCGCACTACAGTGACCAGCGAGACCCACAACGGGGCAGAGCCCGGGCCGGGAGAGCCCATCTGGTGCTGGCCTTCTGGCACGTGGTGTGTGAGACTTTCCAGAAGATCGTGGACAGCAAATATTTCGGCCGTGGGATCATGGTGGCCATTCTCATTAACACACTCAGCATGGGGATCGAATACCATGAGCAGGTGAGTGCTGTCCTGACAGCTCCTGGTGCAGAGGAGTTGCAGATGGAGTTATGAGTCTGAATTCATCTGCTGGTGGGATGGTTTGGGGTGAGAGGAATTAAAAAACTCTGGGAAGGGTCCCAGAATGGAATAAGGCAAGCTTTTTCCTCTGAGTGTGCTTCCAGGTTGCAGCAATCACCTTGACTTGTACCTGGTTAGGGGAGCTCCTGCATCCTAGCCCTACCAGGGATGGTCAGCACCATGCTGAGACCACTGTTCCCTGGGCAGCACCAGGTGGGGCTGGGGTCTGTGGTGAGGGAACCAAGGAGATGAGGCAGTCCTTTGCCACCAGGTCACTGTGAGCCTGGCAGTGCTTAAGGTGCTGCCAGCACCTGTGGGCTCTGTGGGCTCTGTGGGCTCTGTGGGCTCTGTGAGCTCTGGGGTCAGTGCAGCTGCAGGCAGAGAGCTACTGAATTTGCACTCCTTGGAGAGGAGGTAAAAAATGGCTTTGCCTCCTCAGTGAACGCTCCAGCAGCAGCATGATGAGTCCAAAATAGACTCATCACTGGCTATTCCTTTGCTCAATTATCTGAGTCCTTGCAGGCAGGAGAGTGCCTGTGCTCCAGCCTCTCACCGCTTGTCACCTAGCAGAGCTTTCCCTGTACATAGTCATTAAGAAAAGGAGTTGCCATGTTCCTCTTGAAACATCTCCATGATGTTCCATGACAAGAACTCTGCTTTCAGAGGGTTTGCATGCCGTGGCCTCACATGAGTTTTGCGGCTGCTGCTGAGGCCCGCCTGGCATGGTGCCCTTGATCCTACCTCAGACACATGTCTTGGGGCTGCAGGTGCGTGCTTCCTTTGGGGTGAAGAGTTTATTAGTGGGGATGCAGGGATGCTTCAAAACCTTGTTATAAAGCACTCCCATTCTTGAGAGCTCCCAGCATGTTGTTTCTCCTGGGATGTCAAAGCTCTGGGCTCCCAGAAAGACACAGCCACCCCTGTGCTAGCACCAGTCTTGGCTGAGAAGCTCGTTGCATCTCAAGTCATGGCTCCCCTTTTCTCCCTTCCTGGCATGTTTCCTGTTTGCTGGGTTGCACACAGAGGTGTTTCTCCCCCAGCTCCCGGTGGAAGCAGTGGTGGCTGTGGATCAACTCCCAATTCCCCTGTCATCCTGTGGCATTAATGCCTCAGTGACCAAGTGCCAGGGAGATGTGGCTGTGCTCAATGTGTCCCTTCCAGCCAGCACCTTCCCCCTGATGCCCTGATGCAGTCTAGCTGGCTAGGTGCTGTTTTCAGTTCACAATAAACAGTGGTGCGCTCCAAAGTCCTGCTGGTTTCACCTTCATTTGCTGTGCTTGGTGGGAGCTCTGCAGGGAAGCTTGAGTGATTCTACCTTGATTTAATAATCTTGGGAAGATTATCCCAAAGAAGCTGGGAGGAGGTGGTTCACAAAAACCAGTAAACACTTTTATTCCTACCTTGGCTGAAGGGTGAAAGCATATCCACAGTGTCTTTGCTGTAACTGCCCAAGGGGCAGACTGTCAAAGCTTGTTGCTCTTTACCAGGGGCGTTTTTGGGAGATGCTGGTGTGGTCTCCCATCTGGGGGAACCACCCCACTGGGGATGGGTGCCTGAGTAAGCTCCCATCGTCAAACACCCTAAGTGCAACACAACTCCTTAATTCTTTGCCTTGGGAAAAGCGGGGTAGGAGGTTTCCGGTTTCTGCCCTGGCCAGTGGTGAGTCCCAGCAAACATCTGGATGACAAGAGGCAGATTTTTGTGTGGTTTTTGGGTAACAGGGGTGAAGGGAGCTGATATGCGTGGGGGTACTCCAGACACTGTGGGTGGTTGCTTTCTTTAATGGTATTTTGAAGCTACTATCGTTCCAGATTCCTTTCTCCCAGGCACTTGGAGGGAATAGCAGAGCTTGTTTTTATTAGTTCATCTTCTCAAAGTGGCAAAAGAGAACAGAGAGGTGTTTCTTTGTAACCTCGTAAGACTTAGAGTTGGCAATTTCATAATCTGACAGTTATGAGAGCAGGAATTAGAGGGGAAAAATGTTGGACTAGACCTTCCTGCAGAGATTATGAACACTAAAACATGATTTTTGTCTTTTGGAAGAGCCTTTCCTAAAAGTGTGAGTGATCAACCATGTCAAATTTATCTTTACTGACTGATGTTTGCAGAGATGTGAGGGCGCTTGAAGAATACTTGACTCCATGACTTTCTATATTAAGCTCTCTGCTTATTTAGACAGTATTTACCTCTTGGGCTTTCCACATGCTGCCCTGGGCACAGTGGGCTATATTAGGGTAAATATTTTAAGGGCCTATTTTAAGGTGTCACGTCAAAACCTTGTGTTGTTTAGAGGCCCCTTGGCAGAGGGGCTGCTCCTCTCTGAGAGGAAGGACAGGCTGGAGGTTACCCAGAAAGGAAGAAGGAAGATGCCCACCCATCTGGCCCCAGCAATGCTGGGTGGGATTCAGCAGCTCTGGGACCACCAGACCATCCTGGACTTCAGGACAGGAGCTGGTGAGCTGAGCTCCTCATAACAGCCAGGGAGAAAAGTCTGCTCCTCTGGAGGTTTGACGTCTCACCTTGGGACAGGCAGCCTGGAGGGACCTGAAAAAATCTTTTAGTCCCTTGTTTAACAGACAAGGCAACCAGAGTAGGCCTGGTTGTGATATTTAAGGTGACAGTGGTTTTCTGAAGGCACATACAAATTAGTGGGAATTGGGAGTGTGTTGAAAACACTGGCCCCCACCTCTTACTGCTTATTTGTATTCACCCGTCAGTCAACCTGGTCAGATTGAGCACCCATGGCCAGGGCTGCTGGATGAACCTCCTCTTCCACCCAATGCTCTTTTCCATACGCCACCTTCCCACTGTAAATTGTCAACACACATTTTACCATCGCATGCCTGAAGCTTCAAGGGCTGGGTTGCCTCTAGGCTCCTTCTGACATGAGCTGACTTTCTCACCCAACACCAGGTTGTTCCACATGATTCCTACACATGCCTGAGCTGCAGGTACACCTGAATGATTGTAATTCTGTATTTCCTCCACACCCCACCCATCCAAAACCAACTCCTGCTGTTTTCTGGCTCTAGGTGCAGTCAGAGGGAGCAGCGCAGTGTGAGGTGCTTGCAGCACTTGCCACGTTGCGGCTGCTGGGCAGCAGTGTGAAATTTTCCATCAGGGAAATGACAACCAGATTGCCACAGATTATTAATGTGGCTGCTAAATAGCTTGTTTTTCTACAGAGATGAAGCAAAATGCAGGTAGAAACTATTAGCTTTGGGTAGAGGAATATAAATGTGATTTAAAGGTAGACTCAGGGGATTTTAAATACACTGTTGAACCAATTGACTGATTCGCCTTAAGGAAGCTGAGCCTCTGCAGCACTGTGGGTTCAAACAGCTGCGGCTTAGCAAAAGATTTTTCTGCCACAGAGCAGGAGTAAAATGTGCTGCTAAACCAGAGGGTTTCTGTGCTGCTTTCCCCCCCACCCTGGCTGTAAGCCAGGCTCTGTTCCATAATATGCTGCTTTTATTTTCCTTTATTTCCTCCAACTCCTTTCTTGGAGTGAAAAGCAAAGGCTTTAGTATGAGGCGTGATGTTGGACTCCTCAGTAGGGGAAAGAATTCAGCAAGGGCTTCCTTGAGGAAGGGCTTTGGGGGTTTTGTTTTTGTTTTTAAAATCTGGTTCACATTGAGCTTCCTGGCTGTTCTGAGTTTCCTTGTCTGAACTCGCATTGTATGAACTATAGCCTACATATTCTTTTGTTTAAATAGCCCTTGAATTTCAGTCGCTGTCTCTGCGGTGTTTTGCCATTGTTAACAGGAAAGAGACTGGAGAGTCCTTCACTGGCCTCCCCAAAGCTGCAATGGGTTCAAATCCCTGCCTGGGTCTTGTGTGGACTTGGATCTAGATTGCTCCAAAACCCTGGTGTCTCTGAAAGGAAGGAAGAATTGGTTTAGACCTGTGGGAAGCCTTTTGTTGATTTTTAAGATCAAATTGGAGAGGTGACAAGGGTGAATGACTCTCTGGGACAGCACCCGAGGAGAAAAGCTCATTATCCATGGGAGGCAGTTCTTCAAGGAAGTGGGATGAGGCACTGCCTGACGTGTCCCCAGCATAAGTGCAGCCATTGGAGGACCCCTGGCTACAGCAGCCTGTTGTGGGGATCCACAGAGCCACAGTGTCCCAAGCCGAGGGGGGCAAATTCCTTCTGCAGGAAACAGGAGCAGCCTGAGCCCATGGCAGTATCTCAAGCTGAATTCCTGGTACATCCTGCTGCAGGGGAGAGAGCAGGGTGCAGATGATGTAGAGTTGTCACTGTTAACATTACGATCTAATAGCTGCTGCAGCATGGAAATAGCAACCATCTGTGCCAAGGAGTCAAAGGAAACCTTGCTGGCAAAATGCATTAAAGTATCTATTTATGTAAACAGTCAAGGCTTGAGAACAAGAGGGTTGTCTTAATCAGCATCAAAGAACATTAAATTTTTAGATATCCAGTATGATGGAGAGGGGAGGTGAACAGTTAGAAAACCTGCCAGCATGGAGCAACCATTAGGCTGCAGGTTCAAGTATTAATAACAGTCACCCAAATGGTATTTATGTACTTCTGCTTCTGCCTGAATTCAATGTGCAGAGAAGAAGGTAACTGGAAATTATTAGCTGTCATGACACCCACAGATTGATTTCTCCATGTGGGAGGAAAATTGGATTGTTCCATGGAGAAATGGTGTAAGGGAGCTGGGCAGTGGGGCTGTGACAGGTTGGTGGCCAGGTCTCAGGGTGCCTGTGTGTCCAAAGTTCTGGGCAGACTGGAGAGTAGCAGGTCTGGATCCCTGGATGAGCACTGCCTCAAAAGATAAGGGCATATTTGGGATGAGAAGTACTTTGCTCCCAGGACTTGGTGGTCAAGAACATCCCAATCCCCACCAGTTTCAAGCCCAGTTGAACATTTTGCTGTTGGTAGATGGCAGCTGCAGATTTGTCAGATGTGTGGA